GGTAGCACAAGGAGGCTAACTAGATCAGCGTGGAGTCTTGCTTGTCTTCAGGGTTTTTTTCGTAAGGTCTTATAACCAGAACACATAACCAGATTTTCTACAATCAGAAATTGTCGCACTAATGCGGAGTTATTAATGTAAATCAGTTTTTGAATAAGCATATTGAAAACTTGGGGAATAACTCATATTGGATGCATCGACGGTACGTTCAATGTTGAAAAGTAGAGCTGGATCTCATTGCAGATATGTAGAAAACTGTAGCTCTTGGATCATAAACAGTATTAGTCTCATTCTAGTATTTTACTAATGCAACTTAGTTTTACTAATCACACTGCACTAATTAAATTCTTATGTTACAGATTATAGGAAGTTTAACTTTTTTTTTTTTTAAATTGGGAAAGCCTCATGATGGGAAAGCACGTGGACGCATGATTTCTCAGGAGACTAAGTAGTCTATTATATTGTATGAATATATATCTACTCACCCTTGCCTCCTCTTCCCCCTCCTTTTCTCTGCAGAGTGTCTCAGATATATTACAGAATTACTTAGTTTCATAAACTGGGTTATGAAAGGCGCTGGGGGTGCTGCATGTGTGGCAAGGTAGGTCACACAGGATTTACAAGGGGGACTGCCTGGGTCCTGCTGGTTCCTTGGCACGTACGAGCTGTGCAGCTATGGCTGATGTTCCTTACCTTGCTGTGCCTCATCATCTGTAAAGCTAGTATAAATTTTATTTCTGTAATGGGGATGTTAAAGCCTGACTGAGGTTGCAAGTGCTCTGCAGTGTTTCTAAGATGATTTGGAAAATTAAACACTATACTCTAAAATACATCAGCATTAGTCTGAGAGACTTCTAGCTACAGAAAAGCATCCTTGCTTAGCTGGAAAGATCTCTGTGTTCCCCTTTGTCTTAATTGCCTGCAAAGCTGGATAGAACAGGAGGGAAGAGGCAGCTTTTGAGCATGCTGTGTCAGTTGACCAGAAGCTCTTAAAAGACCCTTTTTTGGCTTTTGAAAATAAAACCTTGGGAAGGTTAAACAGAGTAGAGTTGGGACACGGCAGTCCTTTAGAGGTCTTTCTCTTCAAAGATAAAAGTATTTCAAGGAGCATGCTTGGAGCAGCTTTCTCTTATCTCTGGGGTGCTCTTGAGCAATGTTGCGGGGAGAGGGGTGGCCAACAGTGGTGTGTATTCTGCAGCGGTCGTGTTCTGCCTGTAAGGAGTTTCAGAAGCACAGAAGAACAAGGAAGCAAGGCAGGGGCACTAAGATATTCAGGACTTGGAGCACGGCTTATGAATACAGTATGAAGAGATGCCCAGTACACTTGCAGTGTACAGGTTTGAACATTAACATTTCTGTTCCTGATCTCGCCTTCTTTACCAGCGCGTACGAGAAGAACCTTAACAAGGTGAACCTCTCTATTCCAGTGGAGGGCTGGGGTTTTTTTCTGTGGGAGACTGCAGTATGGCCCAGAGGTAGGGATTTAAGTTACAACTGGAATTTTCTGGGCACATTTTGTTGCACTCTGAAATGCAAGCAACCTTTTGCTCGAGGGTGTTTCCCTCTGCCCCCCCATGAGCCGAAGCATTCAGCGACCCAGAGGAAAGGTTTATTAAGGTCTGAGGGGAAATAACTTATTTGCTCAGGACAGCCACTCGCTGTGGTCTCCTTTTTCTGTTTACAGAGAAGTAACTTAACACATCTTTTCCCGGTCCTACTTGTTTGGTTTGGGCTTTGTTGTTGTTTTGAGGTGCCCCCAGCAGTGCTGTGTCGCTGACAGATGGATGGGCAGAGGGACTGGCTGACAGCAGTGTCTGCAGTCCCAGTGCTCTCTGGCTCCAGCTCATGTCTGGGTGCCTTTTCCAGGTTTAGCTTTTGTTACACTGATGAATGGTTGGTTCAGAACTGCAGTGTTCTTTTACTTGGAGCCACGCAGAGTTTCTCAAATACAGAGGTTGCATTAAAATGGTTTGCTGTGAATGTTGATTTTTATTCAAAAGAAAAGAGGCAAAACCAAACCCTATTGCATCAGTTTTTAAACACTGTTTCATTTTTTCTTGGGTTTTTAGAAAAACATATGTTACTGATAATTTGGTAGGGGCTGGTTAGTTTATTTTCAATTCTATTTGCGGCAGCATAGTGAGTTAAATTCTATATCTGTAGGCTACAGCAATCTAAAGAGAACAATATATTGCGCTAAACACTTAAATTTGTCCTTTAAAATATTCTGCATTTATTCTTAATAGTTTCTGTGGTTTTGGTATCACAAAGACATCAATATCCTTTCAGAAACTGTAGTTTCTTATTAAAATAACTGTCTCAGTTTACAAGGTCAAGAACTCTTACTCAATTGAAAAAAGAAAAAGGGAAGAGTATTTGGCATACATTTTTTGGCATACATTTTGCAGCTGTTTTTTAGGGAGATGTTTGGTCTCCCCTCAAGTGGTGCTTTGATTATTGTTTTTGTTTTTAACATAATTCTTTCCTTCCTCCCCCCCCCAATTTAAAAAAGGCCCACGAGAAAGGGATGAGTTTGAAGATGACAAGGGACAGGTATGTCACTATCCCCTTGAACTGGATGGAAGATGTCTCAAAATCTGGGAGTGCAGCGATATGTTATGGAAATAACAATAAAACTTGAGTCTCAGGAGGCCAAAATCTTCTGGACAGACTGGGAGCAATCAGAAGGCTGACTTAATTTCACTTTTAGCCATTATTGTTTGTCATCTGTTCTCTTGGATTATTCTGATTGCTTACTGAAATTATGCTGATTAGTCTGTAGTGGTGTGTGAAATAGTTTTATGATTTTTCCTTTGGGTGCTACAGGTGAAAAATTAATCCAAACTCTTCCCAAGCTTTTAGCTGAACTATCTCCAGGGTTTTTTTTCAGAGAGACCGTGGTGGCATTTTTTTCTTCTTTACTCAGCAGGAGCTCCTTTGCAATTGTAATTTCTGCTGAATGCAGTGCATCCTTTGTGGATTTTGAGATTTATTTGCTTTTGGTTGCAAAACACTCTCAGCCCAGTGCGAAAGATCTGGAGGTACAATGTGACTGTCTCTTCCTGGCTGCTTCTGGGTTGTCCTGTAGCAGCTGGTGCATCACCATGAAAATTAAGGTCCCACCTTTTCCCTCTGGGCACAGGGGTGTGTGCCAGGGAGAGCCACACTGGCCGTCCTGTGCTGAAGTGCTTTGTTTGCTGGTCCGTGCTCCTTGTTGAAATATGTGTGGCTCAAAGTGCCTGCGACTAAAAAGCACCTGTCTGGGGTTGGAAATGGAAAGAAGTGCTCATTTTTATGCATAAATAAACAAATAATCACTCGACCTCAGCTGTCAGTTTTCGTTATTTCCCGGTCTGAGGAATCACCAACATGTTGGTGTTGTGAGGGGGATGCCTCACTTCTCTTAAAGAGGAGCCAAGTAAAGAAGCCTCCTCGCGTGTTTAATAATCTCCACAGCTACATTGCCTTCATTCAGAGCTGGAGAAATTGTTCTGTAATGTTTGTTGTTAGTTCCCACCCCTCTCTCCTACTGGAAGATAGTGAGTGCCAGTCTTGTTGCTGTTTGTGTGCTCAGGGAAGAAATTTATCATCGATTAACATTGACTGTTATAAAAAGTGTTACACTTTCTACTTCTGAAAATGATCTACAGTTCATAGCATTTCTTTAGCTGGCATTTTGTGCGCTTCATCCTTTCCAGTTCTCCTTGCCAAAAGGGTAAATGTATTTTTAAAGCCCTCAACGTGCTCCAGTACTCATGAGAATCATAAGTGGCCCTTGGATCCTGCCACTTAAATTTTTACAGAGTCATTGTTACATGGTTTTAAAGTAACATTAATTTGAGATATCTCAGCCCTGTTCATTCATCTTGGAGAGACCAAACCAGTGTGACGTCGGGCTCAGCTCTTTGCATCTGTGATTGCCACAGTGTTCAGAAAGTTGTTCTCCAGAGTTGTTTCACGTATCTGTAATATGTAGAGCCAGCTTTCTACTTAGAAATAATTTGTTTTTCTATGGATGTTAATTTTTCTCTAGCTTCCCAAAGTCTAATAGGCAGGGCTGAAGCATGACCTTGCTTCATACAGTGAGATATGGGAGAGGATGTACGTAGTTACTCATTTGGCTGGTGAGAGAATGGAGTCATTAGAGAAAGGGAGCACTCTGCTGTCAAATCTTCTATCACAGCTACTGCACTCTATCAGTGTAATTATATTTTTCAAATGCAAATGATAGCTCTAAGAATTCTTCATCGTTTACAGGAGCAGTTCAGTTCATATTTCTCAGTAGGAGACAAGTCTTGTTCAAGGCTAAGGACAGGAGAGTCTGATCCATTATGTTGACTCCCTTTTCTCTGAAGGCGTTTATTGGGTAGAAATAGAGATAACTAAAGTCGTGTGAAGAGCCTTCCTCACCAAACAGGGAACTTTGTCAGCAGAGTTGCTGTTCCTGCCTCTCTCATCCAAGGAAGGAACCTGTGTGGAGTGCTGGAGCCATGGCAGGGGGCAGACCTGCACACCTTCCTGCCAAGGGGAGTTGCTCTGTTGTTCTCAGCCACTCCATGTTTCTAATCTCTGAGAAATATGGCAGTGCCCTACATTGAATTTTACTGTGGTTCTTGGAGGTAGAGGAATGCAGGTTGTGTCAGATTTGGGCAGTGGGAAAAGCTTCGCTTACCCATCTGCACATCCAGTTTCTTATATTCAGAGGAAACATTCTCCTGTTGGGTTTTTTTAATGTGTCTTACTGCAAGTACATCAATAACATTCACACTTTGAACTCTAACTTGTATCATTATTTGGCATTCTGTTTAGTGTTCACTGACCTTGAGAGATTACATCTCACAAACCTGCTGAATTCCCAGATACAGTGCAGGTGTTCTGTCAGTTTTACTAAAAATTTCCAGTTTGTATCGAGTAAAATTTGATATTCTGAATTACTGGTGTTCAGTTAGTGATGGAATTTTTTTTCTCTTTTTCTTCCAAATCTTCTGCTACTCCAGGTATGAAGATGAATAATGCAGGCCACTGGTTTCGATGATGCTGGGCTTTTATAACTGGATTCATTAAGGAATACAAAGAAAATTCTTACAGGGATCAATAATGGTGTCTTCTGGCTGCAGAATGAGAAGTTTTTGGTTTCTGCTCCTTGTCAGCTTCCTGCAGTGTACTGAAGGTAAGCTTTAGTTTATTTTTTACTTGAGTTTGCAGATGAGTTAAATGGACTGTACGTTAATTTCTGTCAGATCACTTGAAGTTTGAGGATGTCAAACTAAATGTATTTATAGCATATATTAATTTATGAGACTCAAACTGTCCTTTTTATAATGAAAAAAAAAAAAAGAAAAGATATTTTTTGGTTTTGATAGTGTCATATGTTTAAACTGAAGTGACGGTATTAATATCCTTGATTAGTAGGTGCCTTATTTTTGGATTCTTCCTTTTTCTATTTTCATTGCACAACAATTTAGTAGGAATGTATAGATATGTTAAACGTGATATAAAACAACTAAACAGTGAAAATGAAATACCTGTTTTACTTTTCTAATTTGGCTTGATGAAAATGAAATGGCAAACACTTCATTAATATTAGAACTATGCAAGTTAAATTTCAGGAAATAAAACTTCAAAGTTCATACAAAAATAACATCTACTTGAAAATATTCTTACTTTTTTTAGAAAAGGGAAAAATACTTCACTGCTATCAAATGTGTTTAAAATAGCTCTTAAATCAAAGAGATGAGGAAGGAAAAGAATTTTTTAAAAAAGTTGCAGTATCTATTCTTTGTTCTGTTTTTCTTCATAAACTTTACTTTATCCAGTTAGTCTGTCTCCCCAGCTGTTCTTGTGACCCTTTTAATAAACAGAGAAACACGAATGAACAGGAAAACATGGTTTATGAATTCTTAATTGCAAATATTCTTCTAGAACTTGAGGGTATTTCTGGGTGTAAGCTTTTTGATTGACTAGATTGCAGGTGAAAAAATTGGTTTAGTAATAAAATAGCATCTCACATTATTCAGTAATTGGTATGTAATGTATAGGCTTCCTTGGTGCATCTGTGGTGTGATCTCACCGGCTTTTAAAGCAGATACATTCTTTACCCTATCAAAATTCTTTGAATTTTAAGGCTAGATTTTCAGAAATACTTCAGGAAAGCTACTCTGCCTCCTCCACTCTTCTTTCTGAAATCTTTATAAATAACTAATCCCCAAAAATAGCAAACCCCAAGATTAAGAATTGAAATCTGCAGTGTTCCACGCTCACTGTGTCATTTCCTGAGCTTCAATTCCAGACTGCCATGGCTGGGGCTGTGTGTTGTGCTGACAGACGAGCTCTGCTGCAGTGAGTTGTCCGTGTGGATGTGTGAACACACACACACATCTACCAGGGACAGTCCTCGGAGCCTTCACAGAGGGTCTGAGCTCGGGGAAATCTCACTGAGCTCAAACAGCTTTCACAGGCAGTTACCCCTTCCTGCCCTCTCCTCAAATATTGCCAGGATGTGTTAGAAGACTGGCATTTCCCAGGGTGTGCTGCAGCTCTGGGGTGGTTCCATCTCTGCTGGGATCCCTGGCCTGGGGCAGTTGTACTGACTGTGTTCTCTGTGTCAGTCGGGTCTGGGGGCTTGGCTATAATCTTACTTTTAGAGGAAGGTAGGGACGGACAGCTGGAAGGTAAAATGCTTTTCAGCCTCTCTCCCAGGTAAGAAAGGTGAATGTGGATTAGGAGATTGGAATTCCAAACCTTATGACTGGCTGGTTTTGGTTATAACTGGGGTTAATTCTAAAGGCCCTTGCGTTGCAAAAGTGGTTGCACTGGTTGAAACCAAAGGCGTAGACACCTATGTAGTAGAGACATCTATGGTGGTTTTTCTTCTGAAGTTTTAAAATACTAAGGAATTTTTTTTAATTATTGCAGTTGTTTCAAATCCGTATATTTAGTGCATTTCACAAAGATTCAGGCACTTGCAGTTTAATGCTGTGTGGTGGTTGAAAACATTTGAAATGAGAAAGGACGAGCAGACAACTTTCTGTGATTTGGTTTAAGTTGCAAACAGATGCTGTGAAAGAGTGTTTTATCTGCTGAGTTTGGAAAGGAAATAGTCAACTCAGAACTTCTGCAGATTGAATTTTTGCTATTTGCAGATAGTTAATTTTCATTGTCATCTGTAATATTTCAAGTCCATTCTGTTCTGTCCCTGTTTTTCTTGCTTGTAGTAGCCAGTAGCAATCTTCTGATGCTTCAGTTGTGAATTTACTTTTTTAAAGTCTGTACAAGAGCTGCTTTTTCAGCTAAAAGAAACAGGAAAGGAAATTGGGAGCAGATAACAGAATCATACCAAATTAATTGTAAATTCTTAAAATAAATGAAATACTGTGGCTCTGTATACTGGAAATGAATATTAATATAGAGTTGGCTTCCAGCCACAGAAGCAAAATGAATACTGCATTATTACACTTTCTCACAAGATTACATTGCCTTCTGCTTCAGTAATAAGAGATGCCAAGTATAACATGCTTTAGTAGCACTTCATGCCTGGAAGTACGAACATGAACAAAGGTTAAAATAAGAGCATCTAACTTTTGGTAGAAATAAGAAAATCTTTAATTCTCTTGCTTGGAACTGATGGGTTTTTTATAGAATCTTGTGTGTACGTGCGGGTTGTTGCAGTTCGTGGGGGAGATAAAACCTGGCCGAGTGCCCTGCTGTTACATTTTAATGTTTCTGTACAGCTAAATGGAGAGAAGGGAGGGGGGAGACCCTGGGTGTGGACAAGTGATTCATTTGTTCGTGTAATGAAACATTTTCCAATCAAGAAGAGGCTTCATTACTCTCACAGAGCCCCAACTTTAACTCACCAGGGAATTAGCAAGCAGGCACAGTTATACGAAGGCTGTAATTTTATTTTACTGCTGCCTATCCAGACAGGAATCATATCTTCAGTTAAAAAGGTCTTGGGTTTGCTTTGTTTTTCCTGGCTGTGCAGTCCAGATGGGATTGCTTTTGAAGCAGTCCCTTCCTTCAGTTAAAATGCACCTGGAACAGACAAGTGCCGGCAGCTGGAGGGGAAAAGCACACGGAGTTATCATACACTGCTGATAGATCTGATCAACAGCAGGTCAATATTGTTGTGCCCAGGGTTGAAAAATGTTGTTACTGCCGTCAACAGCAAGCGTTGCAGCCCTAAATGAGGAAAAGATGAGAGGAAAAAGGAATGAAGAGCTCAAGTCATGAGCTTGAATATTAATGTCATTTCTGAAAGCATTTTTCTGCCCCCTTTTCCTAGAATATCCTGCTATAGGCTGTGTGTAGCATATTCTGCTACGGTTCTGTTGAGAAAGGCAGGCTCAAAGGACTGCCTTGGGAAGGGCTTTGGTTTGGACGTGGGCAGGAGCTGTGGGAGTCCTGCCCTGTGCCTCGGGGCAGAGGGACATCCCTCCAGGGCTGTGCCGGAGCCCCGTGTCCGTGGGGAGCCCCCGTGGCCATGAGGAGCCCCCGTATCCATGGGATCCCATGTCCATGAGAGCCCCCATATCCATGGGATCCCATGTCCATGAGAGCCCCCATATCCATGGGATCCCATGTCCATGAGAGCCCTGTATCCATAGGATCCTATGTCCATGAGAGCCCTGTGTCCATCAGAGCCCGTGTCTGTGGGAGCCCTTGTCCATGGGATCCCATGTCCATGGTAAGCCTCCTGTCCATGGGATCCCATGTCCGTGGGGAGCCCCCTGTCCATGGGAGCCCCATGCCCATGGGATGCCATGTCCATGAGAGCCCCGTGCCCATGGGGATCTCCGTGTCCATGGGAGCCCTGTGTCCATCAGAGCCCTGTGCCCATGGGGATCTCCGTGTCCATGGGAGCCCCGTGTCCATCAGAGCCCTGTGTCCATGGAATCCCATGCCCATGGGAGCCCATGCCCATCGTGGCTCTCTGCCCTCACAGGACGAGGTTCGTGCCCCTCTGGGTCCCTTGCAGTTGAGTCCTGCACCTTTACTTACCTGTTTTATACAAACTTCAGGAAATTAATTACTTTTGACACCACTTCTTTTTTTTTTTTCTCTTCTCTTCTTCCCCCCCTTCTTAATTAGCTGAAATCATCCAACAAGTTAAAAATTATCTGAGAAAATACAGAAAGTCAGAGAGTGAGATCACACATGCCTTGTTTCCATAGCAAAGCAGAGTAGAAAGCTTATTATACATATTATTGGTTTCTCTTCAAGCAAGTTAAGACAGATACACTAATATGCATATGAAAAAAAGATGTCAGAGCTAAACAGTCTGGTGAAGATTGGTTTTTGGACTGTGCAGGTTTCGATATTTTAAGGTTTATCTTGCTTGCAAAGTCCACCTTTTTGACTAGCTTTTGATGCTGTTTGTTTTCATTCTCTTCTGCTGCTTGAAAAGCACAAATGCTTGGGAAGCACTGAAATAATTTTCTTTGCCTACATTCTATTTTAATCAAGGCTTAATACAATTTTAATTCATTTTCTCTTGAATTATTATCTATGCTTTGTCCAAAGGAAGAAGCATCATGCTTACATTATCTATTTAATTCTGTTTTCCTAAATGGAATTAATGTTTGTAAAGAAATCCAGCCTGTCTTTGCCTCTGAATGTTTGTTTTAATGAACATTACACTGACAAAGATATTTTCTTATAAATTCCAGTTATGCCAGCCAAAGGGCTGAGTGTTAAATTGGAAGCAGTTTTAAGTGCATGTTCAATGTTAGAGCATTTACTAAAGAAAAGGCATAATAAATACAGATAAAGGAAGTTGGGCCACTAGAAAGATATTTGCTATTTTAGTGTATTGCTTCAGATCTTCAGCTTCCTGTCAAGCCACTCAGACATGGAGTGTCTAAGGCATAGGCCACAGGTACTGAACAAACTGTAAAAGCACATCAGTTTTCCTGCACATTTGTTAGGAGGTATTAGTAGGGTTTTGCTCAGTATAGAAATTAAAAAAAAAACCCAAACTTGTACCCTGGACTTGAGTAGAAATCAACTTCTGTTAATTAGCGGATTTAGGTTCTACAAGGAGCGAAATCCATTACGGAGTCATGCAAGAGCAAACAGGAGCACCAGTTTAATTTCTAGCCAGGGAATTTATCACAGTGGGAGCTCTGTGAAGCACCCAGTTAGTAGGAACTACTCGGTTTACAGAGTTTG